GTGAATTTTTAATATCGAACCCACGTGTGCAAATAAACGGTCTCATTAGCGTACAGCATATTACGGGGAACAATTTTTTTATTGTAAGAAATAATCATCAAAAGGGCGCAATCGATGGAGATGCGATGTCTGACCGTTCAGATTCACAATATGAAATGATTGCGGGGAATGTTTTTTGTTTGCGTCGATGTCCAAGGCAGGAAAAAAACAAAACAAAAAAAAAAAACTCGGACCTAATTCTTCATATTAATTCGTTCCATCGGCATTAAGAGTTTTCATGTGACAAAATACATTTTTATTCTGAATGAAATAGGTAACATACGAGACTATGAGCAGATTTTATCATTAACTGATCGTCCAGCTTATATATTTTTTCTTCACTGACAAGAATCATGTGGTGCAAGAGAATTAGTAAAGGTGAAGAATCCTTTATCGCGGTTGGCGCTTAACTAATGTATAGTGCAGTATGGTAGTATGGTGTGTGTGTGTGAATTAGAAAAATAGGGGATGTGAATATCATTAATTATAATATAATATGGCTTAGACACTAAATTGTGTGCATGGTCCAGGGAACATGAAACCCTTATGTACACTTGCACTTTCTTTTTTCTTTTCGCCACACCACGAATTCCTCCATGAGATCTTTTTTGCCTCCCGTAGATTACATTTGTAGGCATTGTAAAGGGAATTAATTTAAAGATAATTAGTAAGCCATTCAGACATGATACCTTCACATCGTCTATCAAACTGTACTCAGGCCCCGCCTCTTTTATTTTTTGTATAAACGACGATGTCTTACCACGTTAGGAATGGTTCCAATAAATGATCTCAAATAGTGAGATCGGATTTTTATTGCTTTCGTTATTACATACTTTTTTTTTGTATAAAAAAAAAAAAACCTCCCGCCCGCTGTACTATACATATATTTACGTGTGTGTCATAATATATGCGTGTGGACATATGAGGTAGTTGATGAGATAGCCAATTGAATCAAATATTATTTTATTTATTTACCGGAACTTTAAAAAAAATTTTTTTTTTTTCAAGTTCCAATAAAAAAATGTCCTAGTATAAAAACATCGACGCTTTTAAAATATGCTACTATAAAAAGTCATCGTCACATTGTGTTGTAGAGTAATTTCCATTCAAAATATAAAAATCCCAGCCATCCTCGACTTTCTCAACAAAATCAATTTTTTATTTTTTTTATTTTTTTACAAAAAAAAAAGAAATCGTGTCCGATTTGCATCCATATGATATAATAAAAAAGTTAACAATTGTTTGATCAAAGGATCCACTTTCAAGAAGTAATCGTATACACACTATATACTATACATATATATATATATATATATATATATATATCTTTCTATATATACATATACAAAGTATATATATTCTCGCATTCAAATTCTTTTATCATCACCTCCCCCCTTGAACTCTCTTTCTCTCTTTTTGAGAACTTATTCTGGATATTCGATTGGAAAGAACGTGACATCCTCTAAATCTCGTAAAAACTATATAAAGAATCTTCATATCGCGCGCACACCCCTTCACGACGGGAAAGAGATTTATACTCGTCGTAATTTATCTCATCCAAAAATTTTGGTATCTTGTTTGATACAGTTGCCAAGGAACAATTCTCTCTTTTTCCTTGTATCATCATTATCATCATCATCATTATCATCATCAATACTTTCTGCCTTCGTCCCGTCATCTGAAAAGAAGCGGACGACGTAACCAACTAAAACTAAATCTTACCATTTGAGTTGTATCTCCTAATAAAAAATCTTTAAGAATCAGAATGATGGAATATGTTTTTGTCGATGACTTACACCGATACAAACGTCTAAAAGTGACACGTGCATGCGAGTCATGTCGTCGTCGAAAGGTCAAATGTGATGGAGGATCGGGGGGCTCGCAAACTCCGTGCTCGAGTTGTAGAAAATTGAAAATCGACTGCATCTTTTCCAATATGGCCGCGAAGAGGACTGCACCAAAGACAGAACAAGAACAGATGAACGAGAGATTACAACGATCAGAGAATCTATTAAATAAACTCGATGAAGATGACTCGAAATCGAGAAAAGGTAGGCGTGAATAACATGAAGCTTTCGTTCGATTATTTAAAAAAAAAAAAAGTATTGACTCGACGGTCACTTCCCTCTCAATAGTGTGCGGTGTTGACTACATTGACTCGCTCGTGGATGTCTTGGGTCTGATGAAAATCGAATGGACAGGTCGAGCGTGTTATATCCGCACGATGGACGGAAAAAATAATTCTGAGAATATCCTCGCAGAACCGCCACTGCCATATATTTATCTCTCGGAAAATCCCGCCCCCGAAATGGTCTCGCATTTGGTCAATCTCTATTTTGTCCACGTTCATCCGTACGTTCCAATTATACACAAATCCGACTTTTTGAGTCGCCTTAACGACAAGAGTAATCCGAACTCACCACTGCTACTTTGCTCCGTTTTGGCTATGGGCGCGAGATACTCTGATGATCCAAATGTCCGTCTTGATCCTGCGAAACCGGAGACTGCCGGACTTATCTTTTATAACAGAGCAAAAGGTGATTATCTTATTGCTTGCTTGCTTCCTTCCTTCGTCATTGTGCGTATGGTTCGCGTCTTAATGTATTATTCTTATTATGTCACGTAGAACTGCTGGAAGATTTCATGGATGCGCCAAGACTATCTACGGTGCAATCGCAACTATTAATGCTAAAATTCCAGGAGGGTATCCGACGATCAGGTTTCTTTTTTAGAAGTTGGTTATGCTTTGGCCTCATAATTCGGATGGCCCAAGCTCTGGGACTAGATAGAAATTACGATAAATGGGATGCGCACATATCCCGGGCGGATATGATTACTCGAAAGCGTGTATGGCAAACTTGTTTCGTGTACGATCAGTTTATGAGTGGTGCACAAGGTAACTTTTCTGCTTTTGACAAAAGTGAAAGTCACCTCGTTCCTCTTGACGCGAGTGAAATAATAATAATAATAATATTATTATTATTACAGGTCGAGATTTTGCAATATCGTTGCAAACCGCGGGTATTGAACTTCCTACAAAAGAAGATTTCGAGGACGAGCAGGAACTGCAGATTCAAACGGATTTTGTGCATTTTGTGCGCCTGACAAGAATCCTCTCCGGCGTTATATCAAGTATCGTGCCAGTGGGCTCCGGATCTTCACATCCAAACTGGTCATCAAATCCGAAGCTCCAAATCCTAGACACGGCACTGGATGCCTGGTCACAAGCATTACCATCGAGACTCCGGTGTCAACAGCCCGCCGACAATAATAATGGCCTAGTACCTCAAGCTCCGTTCTCACACTTTGCTGGGTTCCTCAACATTCTATATCACACGGTGTCCATACTACTTCATCGACCTTACATATCGAGCATGGATTACGGAAGGGTTTCTCAAAACAACGTAAATCACGCGAATATATGTACGATGGCGGCAAATAGCATATCACAAATCTCGCAGATAATGAATGATCAATGGGGATCATTTGTTTTTCAATATCCAATTCGTGGGGGAAATTATGGGACATATTGTTTGGTGGCGGCTTCAATGATCCATTTGGTCAACATGTCTTCTCCTGATCTGCGGTTCTCTCAACCAGCGCATGACCATTTTCTGTCGGCATTGGAAGCCCTAAAGATGTGCATTGAGCATAGTGCCGCATGGGATCTGCGCGATAAAGTCCAGGCACTGGAAGCCGCGTTCCACGCACGCAAAACGTGTCAACCTTATGGACTAATATTTCACCCTGGCTCACATCCGGGATCACCTGGAGCCAATGTTCACATGAATCGACGAAGGCCTCAGATGCCAAGGAGACGCACGAACATGCCAAATGTGCAAGATTCAAATGCACTGGCAGATGAAAATGGCAACTTATTATCGAACAGTTTTCCAGATAATTTTTCACAATTTTCGCCACAATCTTCATCGCCACCACATTTCCACGAGAGGTCTTTGTACATGCTGACAGAAGATTCGGACCATAACACGCTCACCAAAAATTTTGAGTTTATCCCACCACAAGATTCGAGGGACGAAAATTCACTACTCACCACACCGATAAGTCACATTCCAATGGCCGGACTCACCGGGCCAATTGCCAATCAGTTCAACCCGTTAATCTCATTGGATAATGCTAAACGACCATTTGACGTGAACGGATTAAGCGCCAATGGAACAATCTGGGATCCGAATTCATTGTTTTTATGGACAAATACAAACGGACAACATATTTGGACAGAAAATGGCGGAATTAGTCCGTTAAGCGCAAACACCCCCATATCGGCCGCCTCGCCACCAGAAAATCAAACACCGGAACATGGATCGCCATATTCCCACGGATCTCCCGAAGGATCAGCCGTCGACCCCGTAGTCGTGGCGTCCCAAAATCATGAAGAAGTTATATTAACCCCTGAAAGTGTAGCTTGGTACGGTACCACGGTTTAAGGAGGGAAATTAAATGTGTTCGGAGTGCATGCAACATAATATAATATATAATACGATATAATACAGTGTAATGATTAATCCTTATTTAATTTATTTCTAATGATTTATACAGAGTTCAGATGATGGCCGGATTTTACATTATCTCCAAAGAAAAAAAAAAATTTTTTTTTAATTTTGTTTTGCGGACAATGGTTTTGATTAACTACCTACCATAATGGCATTAATTTACAGTTTATTTATTGCATCTTATTACCCTTGTAGCATAGTAATTATTGTTTGCGAATAAAAAACAACGAAAAAGAGATGATTTGCAACTACTGGTTTTTTTTATCCAAAACAAAAGTTCGTGATTGAAAGTAATTGTGCTTTGTAAATGTAATCATTATGTTGGTTTTGTGCTTTGTAAATGTAATCATTATGTTGGTTGTGCTTTGTGAATGTAATTATTATATGTTGGTTAGACTTCTTTGCATAAACTCGATACTGTATACCCTATTATACCTTATTTGATAATTTCATTGTAGGTCACATTTGCACAAAAACAATCGATTAAATTAAAACTCGTTTATGCGTAAACATTAATACTTTGACAAAATGCTTATCTTATACGTTAGTAATAACTGTTAGACTTCATTATATATTACGTACGCATGTACTCCCAGAGTTATGCATTACCCCACACGAATTATTACCCAGTAATATTAGAAGGAACATCTCTTGCAGAATAATTAATTGGTCACAGAGCATTCATGCACTGGGTAAAATAGACGTATACGAGATGCAGACCTGTTTCCCTAAAAAAACAATGACAGTAATGATTACGAGAGTTTAAACGGAACAAAATGCTTGATTTCTAAGGGTAAATAAAAACCGAAAAAAAAAAAAAATGAAACAAGCGTGACAATGAGAACCGAATTACACAGGATTTATAATACAAATTTTTCCTTGGCATCTGCTTAAACGTGAGTTGATCTCCATTAAACAAAGTCTTTAGATAAGGGAAAATGTACAGTGATGTAATACGATTTTAAAGAACAACTGGACGGATTTGTTTGTACATGCAACGAACCAGTGAAATGTTACAATGCACATATTACCCTTGCAAGTTCGAGACC